CGCGTGGCGAAGGATGAAACGCAGATGCGGCAAAGGTCGAGTCGCAGCGCATACTGCGGTGGTTAGGCGTTAGGTTAAGTAGAGCGTACCATACTGCGTTTCACATCGCACAGCACGCGCTGCGACCTGTCTTTGCCGCATCTGCGTCTCTTCATTCGCCGCGCGATGGGACTCTCGGGGACACACCCGCATTCCATCTCGGGATAGAGAAGGGGCGCCTTGGACGAGTTTCAGGGAACTAACTCCACTAATGGGTCGCAATGAGACCACTGCCTCAAATATGCCCACGCTTTTCAAGCAGCGTGGACTGACAGCGGAGGGTGGGGCTAGCGGACGAAGGTTGAGTTGCGGATCGGACAGGGTCCTTGCGCCTTTATCGCACACTTTCAAGCGGCAAGAAGGGCGCGACATCAACGCTTGTCCGCTGTCTACTAATTCCGGGATGTAACAGCGAGCGCCCTTAGTCCTGAAGCGTGCCTTTAAGTCTTGAAGGCGAAACTGGGTGCAGTACATTGCGCCGTGCAAACTTTCGCTCTCTGCAACTTCCTTAATTCGAAACGCTGTGGTGATACGTTTCTCTGTGTAGAAAAAAGCACACCTCGAGCTGAACCCTGTAAAAACAGTTGTCTCCAAGCGTCACGTTTTTGACAGCTGGTAACACACATATGCCAATTTTATTGAACCATCCACAAGGAACACTCTTTTTTATAAAAATGGCATCTTCCGCATTGGGAACGTTACACTGCGCCGTACAGCATTTTGATTGGGAAAGAACATTTTGAGTCCGATGGTTTTTTTTGCAACGCCTGCAGCCTTCGATGTGCTTTTGGAGGGCCTGGACAGTTTATGCTGCAATGACGTTTCGGGGAATTGATGTCCAAAATTGATCCCATGATCTTATTCCAAATTCTTAGGTGTTCTAACTTGTTACAATGTGTGGATGCTACGAATCGGCGAGAGCTCCTCGAACATTCAAATAACAGAACACAATTTTAACAGAACTTGATTTACGTAACACCACATATTTGGGTGTCTGTGTTTGGAGGAGGATTCCACGATAAAGTCTAAGTTTGAAGAGAGGAGACTCACCTAGCGGAAAAACAAGCAGACTTCTCAGGGTTGCGGACCGACACGCAATTCGTAGCGAGCGATATGCCTCCGCGATCTAGCACGATCCTCCCTGCATCGCCATCGGCACGGTACGCCCATCAAGCGGATACCCACTCGCCGCCGTTCTCTGGCCGTCTAGCTGAGAGAGCGTTAACGTTTGAGAGGGCAGCACCTATGAAAGCCGCATCAGATTGGATATCAACGAGTGAAGGAGGGTTCTATTTGTAAACTTTTGCCATGCCCGTTTTCTCCTGACCTTTCTTTTTTCGGGTTTTTAACAACTGCATATTTTTGATTTAGCCATGCCCTTCTTCTTCCTCTTCTCCCTAGCGGTAGTCCCGCACAGTCGCAGGGTCCGCTGTCTTTGTCAGTCGCCGTCACTCCAATCTGTTCAGGGCGTCCTCTGCTGTGGCCATGGCTTCACTTAGATCCTTCTTGATCATGTCTCTCCACCTCTTCTTTGGCGCTCCTCGCGGTCGCTTGCCTTGTACTCCGAAGCCCATCGCTCTCTTGATCGGATGATCCTCTGGCCACCTCAGCACGTGCCCAACCATGGGAGGCGCTGCTCTCGCATCTTCAGCTGGTTTAGCCCCGCCCGATCTGCGCAATTCCCACTCACCAACAGCAAATAACCTCCTTCTTTGCGACATCTGTCCACTTTTTCCCCGGTCTACGAGCAGTCTCCAAGCTGAAGTATTAGGTTGCAAGGGAACTTCTTGCCGTTTTTCACCCTGTAGTTCAAAAGTGCTTATCTCGACTCGAACACTACCTTTTCATTCGCATTGGAAACCATTATAATCTTTGTTCACTGCCAATATAATTTAAGTCTGATCAATCCGCTAGCTGAAAGTAGTGTTCTAGAGGCGATAAACTTGTTGAAGGCCGTTTCACCGTATGTTAATTTTGTAGCATTTCTCTTTAAAGGTACTATTCAGACGGGAAGAAATGGCTGTGAATAGATAGAGGTCTTGTGAGGAGACGCCTGTCGCATGGTCAGTACCCCAGCTGGTTAGTATTATTTGCAGGGTCGTTTCTGTAGTCGGCAGCTGAGGTGCTCCCGGAGAACTCGGCCTGTTTATGACAGCTCCGGCCGGGCATACGTGTCAAGGTTTCGGTGTATTTTGACACCTTGCAAAGCAGTCTGTCTCAATATAATAGCTTCGCTCGTATTTAGAAAGCTGCACCTGCTGCAGGTTGCAAAACAAACAGCACAACTTGTTTTTGATTGTTAACTGCTGTTTTTGGCCGCAGTTCGCCTTGCGAATGTTTCACAAGAATGCTGGGTTGTGAACAAAACTTTAGTTTACAGTTTCCGAATGTTTCACAAGAATGCTGGGTAGTGAAAAAAACAAAAGTTTTGTTCACAACCCAGCATTCTTGTGAGACAGCACAACATTCTCCTTGTGCGGTCTCACCTTTGCATAGTTTTGTTGACTCTAGTCGTATACACGACAAAATCCACAGGTTATCGCAAAGAATCCATGCCGTATGTATATTATAATCCAAACGAAAAAACGGTCGTTGTTATTGGATAAAGGAAGGAAGAAGGGAAGAGACCGCTCGTAGGAACCGCAATATTTTGCGACACCCCTTCTCGACTTTTCTGCACTCCATGAGGCTAAAAATAGTAAAACGGTTACGCCTGATCAGTAGTGGGTTTCTCAGCAGTTCTGAGCACATTTGGTTCTATCAAACCTTTTAGCCCATTTTTACTAATGTCCGATATCAAACGATCGCCCTCATCACCTTCAAGGCTCTCGATTTCCATACACAAGATTTCCAACCTGTCATGGTTATCACTAGCTAATCCCGCTCCTTTCTGGACTAATTCGATGGAAGGAAACCATGCGAATCTGCTTGTTGAGGATGTTGTATTCAAGGCCTTGGAAAAGTGGGAGCAGTAGGTTTTGAGCAAATCTGACAACATTTTTCGATACAGCATCGCGCTTACTAAGAATGTGCAAAGTGTAGCAGTGTATCTAAAATTTAGTCAGAACTAATGCCTTGAAATTGAACTATCAAATACGGCAAGATTTTTCCTTACAACCTAGTATAATGTTTCGTCGCGGTGTTCCCCCTCTCGATGCACCTCTACATACAGATAGCAGATGAATGTCTTTCCTTGGCTAACCTCTTCCATTTTTTTGTCGGATTCAGCAACTTTTCGGATCCGAGCTATGAGGGAGTGTGGCATGTGGGACTGATTTAGTGCACCTCATCACAGCGTTCTGGTGTATGCGTCAGTAATTCATGGTTAAAGGAAGGATCACGACCAGAATGAAGGTAGAAGAAGGAGTAATTCATCTAGTTGAGGGATCCGCGAACATCCTGAAGGTGCGAACTGACGCACAATTGGCACCGGTTGACCTAGGCGGCCTAGTGAGGCTCAATCTTGGCGTGGTTGGCTGGTATACGCCCACCGACCATCTGATCACTCGTCGCAGGTCTATATGTGGCGGTTGATTAGATAGCAGAAAGAGTGAAGTGTTGGAAAGGGAACAGAGATGCGACTCGCATCAATGCTCAAATCGACGTGGAAGGTAGGGGTCCCATTTCTCGGGTTTTGGGCCACTTTTCATGGTTCGCCCCTCTTTCATGTACCATTGACCTTCCCTAACTTAATTTGAAATGGGTTGTTTTTTATCGTTAAGTCTTCCTTTAAAAGCACGAGTCGGGATTGAATCGATGGTTTGTTTTCTTCATACATTAGGCAAGGGGTGCAATGAGAAACATTGGTGAGGAGAAAAAGCAAAAAGCACCATAGAAAACACTAAATTTTCCTTAGGAGGCCGGCCGTAGCACGACGGAGAGACACAGCGCTGCGAGGAGAGGGAGAACGCGAGATAGTACGTGATACGCGAGAGGACGCAGAGACCACGTATGCCGTGGTGGATTACTGGCAGCGCGGGCAGCGCGGCGGGGAAGGCCTTAGCGCCCTTGCCGCGCACTTTTGGGTCGCGATAGTGCCATGGCCTCAGTGCTTGGAGAGCCCACTATCGAACCCTGGATAGAACTTCTGGTTGCCTAATCCTGATTCGTGGCTTTAAGCGAGCGTTATAGCCTTTCGCAATAATCTTGCCTATGCCTACGCCAAATAGAAATTGGTGACGCGCTCGCAGGCGGCATCGTGAGGTGTAATTACAGGGAAAACATGCGTATTCATTAAATAAAGTCAGCATCAGATACTGATGCGGTGGTGTTACTAGCAGACCATCAATTTTCGCTCATTCATAATCTTCAATAACAAAATAGCGGCTGGAAATGTTCAGAAAGCGAATGAAATTGTGACTCAAGGTGTACTAAGAGCTCTATCTAAAGTCGAGATAAAAATGGAAGGAACTGAGAAAAGGCTAACAAATCTGGAAGAAGAAGTAAAGCAAATGGGACTGAGCCTTAAAGGTACGATGATTTAGATGAGTTCCCTTTAGCTATTTATTTTTCCCGTTGCCATCAATATCATCTGTGCTGTGTTCTTCTCTGCAGTGAAGGCCTGGTCCGGGTGTGCAGCGAATATTGATCCACAGATTTTTCTTTGTCAATACAGAGAATCAAATGAATAAGACGATAAACAGGGAATACGGGGAGGTTCAGAAGCGAAGAGAATACGACCACACAATCTCTCTCAGCCTGCCAACCCAGGGTTTACATATGCGGTTTTCCTGGACGATCATGGTATCGATAAGATCATGTTCTGTGATTGGGCGATCATCAATACACAACACCAACCCCAGTAGAAAGAGTGAGAACATCACGATTAACTTTCTACTTCTACAAATCAAAATGCAATTCGCACTTAACAATCAAAACTAACGAGATGTGTCTGGGTATCTCTGGATCGGCCTTCTTAACCTCTTCGTGCGTCGCAGTGGTACATCGGCTTCTTGGGCTTGTCATCCTAGAGCAGCCGCGTCCATAGTTCGTGTAGTATCCTCTCGTCGCTTCCACACGTCTCCCAATTCGAGCGTCTCGAGCAGAATCAGCAATGACTTGTCTTCATAGCTCGAAGATGTCTCCGCATCACGACGGCGCAGCTGATTTGCGTGCTTCTTCGTTATCCTTCCACTCAGGTCGACTTCATAGTTGACTCTGCCAATTCTTCTTGTGATGATGCCTTCTTTCTATACGAACTGTGGTGCTTTCCATATTTGAGCATAAACTGCTTCGCCAATTTCGAATTCCTTCGGAACAGCATTGTTTCTTCTATTGAAATGTTCTATCATTTTCTTCCAGTTCTCTTCAGACGGTGGCGTGGCTCGCGACTCGTCCATCGGAAGTAGTAGACTCAGCCGTGTGCGAAGTTTTCTTCCTAAAAAGACTTCTGCTGGTGTCCTGTTGTTCAAATAATCGTTCGGAGTGATTCGGTATGTTTGAAGAATCACATTCAGATTTTCTTCCGACGGCTTCTCCTCCCCCTTGAGTTTTTTGATAGCTCTTTTCAATGTGTCCACGAAACGTTCGGCTTGTCCGTTTGACTGTGGATGATAAGGCTGTTCTTACGTGTTGTATTCGTCCCTCTTCGCACATCATCTTGAATTGTTCCGATGTGATTTGGGTTCCATTATCGCTGACGATGGTTTGTGGTAACCCATATTTAGCGAACATCTTCCTTACTTCCTTCACTGTTTGATTTGCCGTGATGCTTGCCATCTCAACAATTTCCGGCCATTTACTGAAAGCATCTACAACGATCATGTAGAATACTCCACAAACTGGTCCTGCGAAGTCTATGTGAATCCTCTGCCATACATAAGTTGGTGTTGACCAAGCTTCCAAGGGTGCTTTGATCGGAGTCCTTGCGCATTCTTGACATCTTGAGCAATTTCGTACTATTTCTTCGCAATTCTTGTCCAGGTTTGGCCAATACACGAAACTTCTGGCGAGCTTCTTCATCTTTACGATTCCTGGATGACCAACGTGCAATTCCTTGAGAGCCTTGGCTTCTGATTCTTGAGGAATGACAACTCTGCCTGCCATCATAAGGCAATCCATCCACGACAGATAGCGTTTCTCTTTTGTTGAAAAACGGTGCCAGTTTGGGGTTGACCTCGGGCCATTTGGTCTTCACATATGACGTGATACTCCTGAGCAAAGAGTCCTTCTACCATCTCTGACACGTTCGTGGGTTAGCGGTAGTCTTCTGATGCAATCCCCTTCAGCAGCCTGGAAACATCATTTTCAACTGCTGCTACTACCACATCTCCGTTTAAATCTTGGAGCTTCTGCATCAGACAAACCATCCACTTGTCCGAACTGCGTGGTTTTGACATACTCAATGTCGAAATCGTATCCTATCAGAATCGTAGCCCATCGCATAAGCCGATTTGCGGAGTGAACCGGAACTCCTCTCTTGTCTCCAAAAACTGCTAACAACGGCTTATGATCTGTCAACAATAAAAACTTTCTTCCGAATAAATACTTGTGAAACTTCTTGACTGCAAAAACAAGTCCGAGAGCTTCCTTCTCGATTTGCGAGTACTTCTTCTCAGCTTCTGATAGGGACCTTGAAGCATGTGCAATAGGTTTCTCCGAACCGTCACCGTACCTGTGAGAAATGACGCATCCAATACCACAATCACAAGCGTCAGCTGCCACAACAAGATTCTGCTGAGGGTCGAAGCGAGCAAGCTTTACGTCGCTAGACAATGTTTTCTTCAAGTTTTTGAATGCTTCTTGTTCTTTGGTAGTCCATCTTCATTTTATATCCTTCTTGAGCAAGGCATCCAAAGGTCCACGGGATTCTTCATAGTTGGAACAAATGCAGAATAGTGTGTAACCATTCCTAAAAACGATCTCAATTGTGCCGCGTTCTTCGGTTCATCCATATTCTTGAACGCTTCGATTTTCTCTGGATTTGGTCTTCTCCCATTTCTGTCCAGAATAAAACCAAGATACCGTATTTCTGGTTTTGAAAATGTACATGTCTAGACGTACTTTGAATCCATAGTCAGATATTTTTTAGAATGCTGCTAGCAAATTTTCTTTGTGCTCTTGCTCCGTTCTGCCGCTCACTAATATATCGTCCAGATAAGTGGCTACATTTTGCAACAATCCAATTACCATATTGTTCATCACCTGCTGGAAAATTCCTGAAGCAGTCTTGATTCCAAAAGGCAGTCGATTGTACCTGAACAGTCCCTTGTGCGTATTTATGACGACTTTCTTCTTTGTACTACTTCTAGAAAGTTACTAGCTGCAGGTATGCGTCTGATAGGTCAATTTGTCGAGAAGATCGTTCTCCATCTAAAGATGCGTAAGACATCTTCTGGCATTGTAAAGGGTAGTCGACTCAAAGCTCTGTTAAGCCCGGTTGAGAAATCAGCACATATTCTCAAGTTTCCATTTTGCTTTTTGACACAAACAATAAGTGCGGCCCATTCACTGTGGCTCACTGGTGCAATGACATCCATCTGCACAAGTCTATCTAGCTCTGCGTTTACAGCTTCCAATGCAGCGTGGGGTACTGGGCGACTGCTACAGAACATTGGGCGCACATTCTGATCAAGTTGCAAGTTCACCCCTTCTTCTTTATTGCAGCGTCCTAATCCTTCTTCGAAAACTTCCGGGAAAGTTTTCTTGAACTCTTCTTCAATTTCAGCGGTGGATGCCACTTTTACTTCTGCTGTCATCATTTCCAAGTGATACCTCATCTCTTCGCTCGTATCCATTCCAGACCCATGAGCGAGTTGTATGGCGTCACATAGGCATATCCTTCAGTTTCGACGCCCTTCATTTCGATCTTGCATCTCAACTTCCCGTTGATCTTCATATTTTCTCCACTGGCATTCTTCACAACATTCGTCCTTTCCAGTGCTGGGGATACTATCTTCTTCCATGTCTTCCGTTTCGTTCAGCAGGGTGATGTCGGATCCTGTATCTCGAAGAAATTTGGCGTTATATGTAGTTGTTTATTACTACATCGACGTACATGCGAGGACAAATTGCTTCAAACGCCGCGTTCGTAATCTTAACTGTTAGGACTTCGTAGAATCTTCGTAGAATCTTCCTTCGCCCCTTGCCTTCGTGGTTACTATCCCGCATCTTCTTCGTCCTTTCTTCTTGTACGTATGGCTTCTTTTGTCGTGGAATGTCACAAAATTTCTCCTAATGGACAGTATTCCAGCACTTCTTGCAGAACCAAGGCTTCGACTTGCACAGACGGGCATAGTGGTTGCCTCCGCAGTTCCAGCATTCGATTCCATTCTGCTTTTGTACAGTTGTTGCATCAACAGCCTTCGTACATCCTGTAACTATTTCACTATCTCTTCTAAAGCTCAAGAAGTTTTCGCATTCTTGGTGTAACTCGTGCAGAGATACGCTTCTACCGGCCTTGTGTTCTCTATCAAGTATTGCGATCAGTCTTTGTCTGACCTCTGCTTCTTGCTGTGACTTCAGTCCAAAAATCCACAGGAGACATCTGATTCTTCAGCCTGCCAACCCACGGTTTATATATGCGGTTTTCCCGGACGATCATGTTATCGATAAGATCATGTTCTGTGATAAGGCGATCATCAATACACAACAATCTGCATCAACTGCCTCTCAATGGCACTAAAAATTCTTTGATCACCAACAACCAGGGTCAACCGCCCGTTGGAAAAAACGAGGTGTCGTACTTAGCCGATAGAAAAGGGGGGATGTCGTGTTCGCAAAGGTAAATGTCGCAGTACGTAGGTGGGATGCATAGCTTAACCACAAACGAGTGCATGGCGCACCTCAGAGCAGACGAGTCTATTTCAGAAGTGTAAGTATTGTATTTGAATGTTCACGTACACGAATATGCTCTCAAAAGGGAACGAATGTCTTCAAACTGGACCTGAGTTGTTAAGAGTGAACACTTGGGTAGATTGAGTGCTAAAGCCTTACAAGAGAAGTTTGGGAAAAATATACGCCTTTTGAACCTACCTTTTGAAAATGGTTTAGAATCTGTTATAAAGCACAAAGCTCGTGCGATGTCATGACATTTTTATTCCCCATAAAATCGAGTTTGAAGAGAGGTATGTGTGTTTGAGTGTTGAAAACTTGCGTTTTCAGAAGAAGAGCTCCGAGAACATAAAGAAAAAAGGTCCAACGGGGCAATTTTTTGAACGGATCATTCTGGGAACGAGATCAAGTGTTCACTAGCTTCCTAAGCTCTATCCTTCTAGTTTTCTCCAGGGTGTAAGGATTAACTAAAAGATGAGTATGAAGAAAGTTATAACAGTTCAAAGCCAAAAAACTGGCGCTTTGCCGAAATCGGTCCGCGATTCCTCCAAAACGGTCCAACGGGCGATTTTTTGACTTCATCAATACTGAGAATGTTCAAGTATCGCTTAGAAAGCTTCAGCCTTCTAGTTTATTCGAGGGGGACAAGAATTGGAAAGGGTTGAATCTAAAAAAGTCATAGTCACTGAAAGCCAAAAAAACCCGTTGTGCAAAAAAAAACGGTTCAATGGGGCGAGTTCTCGAAGAAATGAAACATCACAAAAGTTTGGGCATTTTTTAGAAAGAAAACAATCTAGAGTTCCGAAATTTTCTTGCCACTCTTCTTGGTTTCTTATTTGAAGAAAATTACAACCTTCTAAATGAAGAGGTGCGCGTTTCTGAAAATTCTTAATTTTCTACCCCATAACTCAACGTTCTGGAGAAACCACAAACGTTGTAGCTTTTTGAAACTAGCAGCCTCGAGAATTACAAATCTACTTAGCGTTTTGAAAAATATTGAATTTAAACAGAATTACACTCATTTGGAAAATTAGTTGTCCACCTCGGTCTATCCGCGCTGGGATGAGGGTAAGACGCATCGTCATCATCGGCATACTTCTCAGCAGTACAAGGCTGCTATCCATGTCGCTAAGCCGATTTCGACTCGCTCAAATCTACCATATTGATTCACTCGGATGGTCCATTCGTTAGTGAGGTCCAAATCCAATGGCAAACCTATGGGGCATCCAAGTTCTTAGTCTTTACTCCTAGAGCACTCGGTATGATTCCATGAGTCTCCTGCAAAAGATGCTACTCGAAGATTAGGCACGGATTCAAGACGAGGAATACAAAAATTGGTAGAAAACATGCCAGATCGGCTCCTCAAGGTGTTATGCAGGGCACGGCGAATCCGTGGGCTGCGTATCTACAATGCAGTAGTAATATGACTGTGAAGTGCTAAAGAAACATTTTACTGAAGTGAAGAATTGTCAAAATTTCTGCTATGAGAAAAGTTTTGCAATGGCCAATTTTTCATTTTTTTGACCCTAGATTCCTGCAATTTGACAGAACTGCTTGGAGATTCTCTATTGTAAGTTTCTTCACACGCCGAATTGAATGGCATTACCCATTTGTGTGCTAAGTTCCTCGTAACTTCAGAAACCCAAAATTTGGGGTATTTCGTATAGTTTTGTACTATGTGACGACTATGTGTATTTCCAATATACCTACTTCTTGACCTACTGCTTGCTGTAGCACAGTTAGACTAGAATCACCTTCTTCGGAAATCTTCAGAAGGCCCGCCTCAACAGCAAAGGCATGCTCATGACTCTCCTCAACTTCATTATAGAATTCTTCTGAATCCCCGAAACTGGAGCCAAGGCTGCTGCGCTTCTGGAGGTGCTTGAACGGCCCCATCTTTCAATGTTACCTTGTCTAAAGAGCACTACATCAGAGTTTCAGCACATCGAAGAAAACCTGCCAAAACCACTTTAGTGACACCTTCAGTCCAACTCTACAAAAATTCCGAATATAGCAAGAAAAACTGTAATTCAGATATATTGGAGAAAAGCAGATAGAATATGCCCGCCAATGATATATATGGCTTCAGATCCCGAGAAAGTTTCAGTATAAAAATCTTCCAAACATGCAAGGAGTTTCGAAACCCGCATTACTTTCCGAACAGCCTAATATTTATTTTCCCGTCGCCATCAGTATCCTTGTCTGAGAAAAATTGGCAATCAAAAACCTGGCTCAAGCATTTGACGTCGCAAGGGGATAGTAGGTGATCGAATTGGTTCAGCGACCATCACAAAATGTGCCACGTCCCGGCCTTGTGTTTGACCTTTTGTTCGATTCCTTGGCAAAACTTCACTGATCCACGATTTGGAACTCCAGACTTCATTCTGCAATTGCTTAGATAGTGGAACTACGATCATCGTTTTCTTAACAGCGAGATAGGTAGCTTTTATCGCATGCCATCCTTCCTGCGTATTGTTTTCTGAGCTGTACGTTAGGGCTGAAGAAAGCCTTTAGTGCGTTCTTCTGTTTGTTTGTTCGAAAAGCTTTTATAGAGCACAAAAGAGAAGAGATACAGAAAGAATGCAAATCAAACGAAGAGTTTGTTTTGGAAATACTCAAAGAAACCTCGCGCAAAAATGGTCTAGAAAAGAGTGATTTGGAGATCTTTTTCAAGATCCTTGGTTACACCAACAACGAGGTGAGTTTCCGGGAATTTTTTTTGGCATGACGTCAGCCTCCATTTCGCACCGTTTCTCGCGATAAGGCTGGGTTTGTATGATGTATAATTTAATTTAATCTGATTTTCTCAGATTTAGGCGACACTGGCAATTACTGAGGCGTTGCAAAATCTGATAGAAGAGGGTCTCGTGACAGAAAAACTCCATAAGAAAAAATATCATTATCAACTCGCAAAAGAAAAGCAAGATAAGACAAAATCGAAGAAAAGCAGAAAGGCTCGAGTAAGCAAGTATTCGTTTTGTGTTCCTTGCAATCCGTATATCGAAATCCCGAAGAATGAGCAAGTGCCAGTTTCGAAGCATTTAACGTTTGCTCGAGAAGGCGACCCAGTAGTTACTGTACCAAGATTTAAAGGAATCTTGCGCGGAAAATTTTTGCACTCTTTCCTAACATGAATATGTCATTTGTGATCACTGGAAATAGCACACAAAGTTTCACACATGAAGATTCGGTTTCTGCAGAGAAACAAACGTACAAAAACTACACGTTATGGACCATCGAAGGATCAGGAGGCAGAACCATGCGAGGCATGGAAAGAACACGGCGTTTGGCCGGTTACGTACCAGGCGACGCAATGAGAGAATCGGCTTGAAGCGCGCGATTTTGGAGAGTGGAGACAAATCGATCGATGAAATAGGATGGAGTGGAAGTGTAAGATGTGAATGCAACGAAGCAGAAGGCCAGAAAGAGCTTCCAGTGAATGCACTCCAAGAACCAAGTTCGAGCATCCCCGTCGCCAGCCTTCGTGAAATACGTCCGTGGGCGATTCGAACGCGTAGCAGCCCTTTTGAGTTTTCGAATTTCAAATCAAATTGAAAGCAGTACCTCAGTTCTTTTCACTATTATCGTGGATAATGAGTCTCGAGCCAGTGATTTATGGCTGAAATAGAATCATGATTTTTTCCGCGCAAGATTACTTTAGGCATGAATGGCGCACGCAGAGCGTTCTCTCGTGTTTGAATCCACGAGTCGGGATTAGGTTACAAAAGTCAGTCCTTCCTAGAGAGAGAAGAGTGATCCAGAAGCAGGAGGTGCGACAGTGTCAAAAGTGCGAGGAAACGGCACTAATGCTTTGCCTTGTGTGTTGCCGTGCTGCCATTCCTATCATGTGCGGCATATGTGGCGTGTGTACCCTCTCGTGCACTATTTACTATGTATCGGTTGTTTATTCTCTCGCGCTCTCCATCTCCTCACAGCGCTATGTCTCTGCGTCATACATAACCTGCCTCATAAGGAAAAATCAGTATTCTCTGTTATGCTTTTGCTTTTGTCCCCACCAATGTTTCTCGTTGCACTCCTTGCCTGATTTTCTAAGAAAAAAAGCGA